CAAAATGGAATCTGCGACCACCTCCGATCGAAGAAATTTCTGACATCACCTCGAAGGACTCAACGGGAAAGATTGAACCGAAGACCACCTCCAAACGGATTGAAAACGAAGAACAGCTGCAAGAGAGATGAATAGCTTAAAAGAGGAAGGGAAAGTCGATCAGTATAATGAAAGAAGAATGATAAATGTGAAACTGCAAAAAAGCTATATTAAAAAAAAGAAAGGTATCTACCTCCCTCATATTAACCAATCCATCCACCAAAACAACAAACAGAAAGCAAACTCCAAGAGGCCCATCTTGCTTTTGTGGCAGTAGGAGCAAACCAACAACTGATACAAAGGGCCTATGAAGACTGCTGAAACATGACATAACGTAAAAAAGAAATAAATGAATCATTATTGTGTACTGGTTTCTTCTTCATGAGCAGTTCAAATGCATGCAACTGATTTACAGAATCTCAACAAAGAGAAACAGTGAGCATATCATTCTTGATTCGTGCACACCACTATTAGATGTTTGAAGGTGAGGGAACTATCATTCTACAGAACCACTCATGTAATGACCAAGTATAACAATGAATCTGCAGCATCATTCACCTCGTCCTAAGTATCAGCTACTACATCAAAGCGTACCCAATACGACACGATTCAAATAATAAACACCACTCGTGAAGGTAGCATTACCATTAAGCTAGAGTGGCCTAATCCTGAGTACCGCCTAGCATATCCCTAATAACCAGACCAAAGTGAAATATTGGAACACACAGCACATGAGTAGTCGGTACAACCATTAAGTTAGTCTATTAAAAGTTGACCAATGAAATTGGATAGCATCAAAAGACTTCAACTTCGTAATAGAATTACATGAGATCAGACAGAGAACACCATTACTTTCCCCCTTTGATTAATTTCAGCTTCACGATTCACCCCTGCTCAACCAGTGAAACTATAAATCCAGACGATTTGGTGAACTAATCCTAAAAATTCCAGCTATATAGATCCTGAAAGGCGAACATATTGTCAAACCAGAGGATAGTGATCTATTCTCCACCAGAGACGGCCTGAACCCAACATACATTTCTCTACCAACCATGACAGTCACAACTAAGTTAATTTTGTTGCAAAGCAACTAACCAATCTGTGGGCGGATCGGGTTTTGGGTCGGACGGATTGTGGGCGGATCGGGTTTCGTGTTGTTCGGGCCAGCGCATCGAGTAACTTACTCATTACTCGTTACCAACTTACACATTTAACTAATTAACACTAATTTAAAATATTTTCTCAACTTTTTAACCAATTTATTTCTACCTCGTATATATATACTTAATTTTTTTGAAAAAAAAACTAGTCAAAATGTTAAATCAATTTGTATGACTTGCAAACTTGTTATGTAGTTAATCATAATTGGTAAAGTACACTAGCTAATAGTAATAGTGATATCAACATTTGCAACCAAAAGACACCATTAATTGTTTATTTGATATTTTAGTATTAATTCAGTAGTAATTGGATTAATGAATCTCGTTTAGTATAACCATGCAAATTTGGTATTTGGCGTGTGGTATTTGGTAAAAGCAGAGTGATAAAAGGAGTTATTTCGAAATAACTCATTGCCCAAATAACTTCAATAAACTGTTGCAAACAAGTTATTTGTAAAATTGTTCAAATTATCCTAAAAATTGAACCATTAAAGATTAACTATCAAATTTAGTAAAATTATTGTGACTTCAATCATAACTTACTCAATAACATATATCCTATACACTTAGCCTTACCCTCAATCGACAATATTAAGTTAGTATATGTTGTTGATTATATACCCTAAACCATCAATACATTATACACTAACCACATATCCTATACCTATACCCTAACCATATGTCCTTGAGTTGTGATTTTGCTAGTATAGTTAATTTAAAAGTGAAATTCATACTTTGATTTTCAAAACATAGATAAAAAGTGATATTTGCTAATTGTTATACCCTAACCATATATCCTATACTCTACACCACATCCCTTGTATCCTAACCACGTACCATAAACATAAATTAAAGAGGGATCTCCTACCGTTAAAGACTTCAAATTACTTCAAGTGAACATATGTTAATAAAAACTTAAAATTTTGAAAAACCAAAAAATTGAAAACACCATATTTGTTTCTTTTTTTCTTTTCAAAAAAAAAAACTAAAATTTTCCTCATTCTTTCTTCTTCCATAAATTAGAAACACTCAAATTTCCCTCATCTTTCTCTTCCATAAAATTGAAAAAACCAAATTTCCCTCTTCCTTCCTTCCTTTCACAAAAAGTTGAAAACTCAAAATTTCACTACTTATTTCTCTTTCATAATCAAAAGAAACAAACTTTTCCACTTCTTTCTCTTCTCACAATTCAAAACCACCAAAATTCCCACTTGTTTCTTTCCAAAAAAATTAAAGAACAAATTTCCGTCTTCTTTCTCTTCCCAAAAAGTTAAATACACCAAAATTTCCCTCTTCTTTTAAAAATATCAAATTACCAAATACATTACTTTAATTTATTTATATTTAATTGATAATTTTATTGAATAGTTAAATTAACCAAAATTTTAATTTATATGTTATATTAATATTGTCCATATCTCAATTATTAATTCTTCATTATTAATATTGATATTATGTTGATTTTATATTTTATATTTAATTTTTTAATTTTGTTAAAGAACTTAGTGTTCAAATGACCTTCATGTTTCAATTTTTGTAATTTTCTTAAAATACATAATATCAAGTGAGTTTCATATTTTTTAAATTCCCTAAACGAAATGAAAAAATAATTTTACTTAAGTTTAGAATGAAAAACTTTATTTTGAAAAAACTATGTATTGTATATTATAATAATTATCCAAGTGGATTAGGTGAAGTTCGGGTTGAGTCGGTCGGGTTACGGGTTAGTCGGGTTTGAGTCAACGGGTTTGGGTTAATCAGGTTGCGGGTCAGTTGGGTTGCGGGTTAGTTGAGTTGCGGATCAATCAGGTAGCAGGTCGAGCGGGTTACAGGTTGTTGACTCTTAGTTAATTCGGGTTGCGGTCAGGTTACGGATCGGGTTGATCGGGTCGGACTATGTTTTCATATAGCTATAGGCATGGTGGAGCCGTGGAGATGCAGGATGTTGAGATGGTGGACTCGCTCACGGTGAGACTCAAGGAAGCAGAATATATGAAAGGTTGAGACTTGAGAGAGCAGCTGGTCAGCCTCATAAGAATATTAGTGAACACATGTCTTAATGCTGTCTCTTTCTCTCTCAACCAAAACACAATCACGGCAAGATCAGTCGATAATGCTAAATTAATACAATGACCATGGTTATTTAAATGGATTCCTTAATTACAAATCCGGGCTTCTGCGTCTCTTCCGTTGTATAGCTTTGAAAGCTATGTACAGATTCTCAAATAAAATATCATATTCGTTGGAGAACACTTAATAAGAAGCATATTTATATAAATTGCTACTTTCAAAGGGTAAAGCTCTTAGAGACTTGGAGTTACACACTTGTGTAGAAGACGGAAGACCTAAGTTACTATCAACCACACACGCGTGCCTATAGACTGAGCAAGCGGATGAGTTTGGGTTCGTCAGGTTAAAACTACAATTTTTTGGTGAATTGTCGAATTAGTTATCTGGGAAGTAATTATCTATTATTTAGACACACAATTCAATAAGAAGAAACACTAAATTAAGTATTCTACATAAAACTCTGATTTTTCGCACAAACTAAAAGCGATCTAATCGCAGCTCAGCTAAGATTCTGCAGCCCTAATTTTCTATAATATCTTCTAAATGTGAACACATCCTTTAAGAAGAGATACTGTTTCGTGATTTCCTAACCAAAACCACGTCCCACCAATTAGTGCTCCACATCTCAAAATTTCCCTTCGTCATGCATCAACTTAGCCCTTAATCGCTTGTTGGATCTGACCTAATCCCAGATTCTCAAACCTACACGATCAAATCCTCCACTTATTTACACATAACAACAGCTAGCTATAGCTTCATCACCTGCACTGCAACTCCCCCTTTCTCGCCGCAGGTAGTGGGTCAATAATAATTGAAATATATTCCTCCCAGAGTTGACCACACTTCATGTTGGACCGAATGCCGGTTGGTTAAACATGATAAAATCGATGTCGGTCATAAAATTGGATGGAATAAACACAATCAATTTTTTTTGTTTTTAAACATAATGACATTGCTTTAGTAAATTAAATTAAAAAAGGAAATTTGTGATTTATTTCATGAACTTCAAATGTTATGTTATTTGTTAAATTCAACTATAAACGTTTTAGTGTTGATGTTAAATGTTGTATTTAAATATGATATTTGTTACTTTATTTGAAATGTTATATTTTATTTAAATATGAACGTTGATTATAAGTAGAATGGTTTGAAATATGTTTCTATATGCTTAAATTCATTTATGTTTATGATTTTTAATTTTTTTACATATTTGTTTAACCAACACGAACTTATATAAACTAATTGTACTACCCAGTGGTGGAGGGAGGTAAGGAGGAGAGGGGTCCTAGGACCCCACTTGACAAATAATTGTGCAACAAAACTCTTTAAATACATAGATTTTAGTACGATAATTCAAGTTTAGGACCTCATATTCTCAACGATGTTAGCTCATCAAGGACCCTGATTAACTCAAAGTTCATTAAATACACAAACATTTATGTTAGTAAATTTTTAAGGACCCCAGTGGACTTGATGTCTGACTACGCCACTGGTACTACCGATCTAATCAGACTACTTGCTAAACCAATATAACGATATAAACCGATCTGACAACCGCCCCACATCCCAACAATAATCCATGTTATCTTTTGTTATACAATATGAACTCGTGAATCACGAGTGGAGCAAAATACTCCTCCGAACCACACTATATATATCAATGATTACATTCCGAGAGAGAGACTAAACTATATCTCAACTACTTCGCTTGCTAGCTTAGCTTCTTAAAAAATGGCTTCCTCCGGCTCCGGCGAAAGGAAACTGGTGAAGGAAATCCCCGGCAACCTCCTAATCTACGACGACGGCACCGTGGAGCGCCTCCGCGACACCGACGTCGTCCCTCCCTCCATCGACGCCGGCGGAGTCTCCACCAAGGACGTCGTCTACCTCCCGGAGCTCAACCTCTCCGCCCGCCTCTACCTCCCATCCGCCGCCGGCGGAAACCGGAAACTCCCTCTGGTGATCTACTTCCACGGCGGCGGTTTCTGCGTGGCCTCCCCCTTCTGCGCCAAGTACCACCGCTACGTGTCCCGCCTGGCCGCCGAATCCCAAACCGTAGTCGTTTCATTCGACTACAGGCTGGCCCCGGAAAACCCAATCCCAGCGGCCTACGAGGACTCCCAGGCCGCGCTCCGTTGGGCCTTCTCCCACCGGGCCGGGAACGGGCCCGAGCCGTGGTTAAACTTGCACGCGAATTTCGACCGGGCTTTCTTGTGGGGCGACAGCGCTGGAGGCAACATCGTCCACAACTTGGCGATGGCTGCTGGAAGTCCGGATTTCGGGCTCAAAGGTGGGCTTCTGGGGATGGCTTTGGTGCAGCCATTCTTCTGGGGGTCGGAGCCCATTGGATCGGAGGTCCAGTTTCCGGATAAGATGGTGAAGGCCGTGGCGAGCCATGTCTGGCCTTATGTCTCTCCGTCGCACCCGGATAATGATGATCCGCAGATCAACCCGGTGGCGGCTAATGGGCCGGGTTTGGTGGGCCTGGGCTGCAGGAGGGTTCTGGTCTGTGTGGGTGAGGCGGATGTGTTGAAGGACAGGGGGTGGCTTTACTACGAGACGCTGAGGAAATGTGGGTGGGCGGGAGTTGCGGAGATTGATGAGACTCAAGGGAAAGGGCATGGCTTTCATTTGTACGAGTTAGAGAGTGAGAAAGCTAGGGCTTTGATCAAAAGGCTCGCCACTTTCTTCAATACTTGCTGAAAACCTCCAATGCAAATGCAATGATTGTGTACGGTGTCGTTTCGCACTTGTTTGGTCTGGTGCCTTCTTTGTTCTATTCCATGCTTTCAACTTTCATGGTTGGTTTGTATCGTTTCGTTCACTTGATGTATGAGTCATATCTTGCTCTTTACTTGGCCTAAATGAGTTGGCGTTTTGGAGAAAATATGGAGGTGGCGACTGCCGGCGAATAACACATAACGAGGATAGGCTTTTGTGGTTTGACGATTCGAATTTTTTGATTCACATGTTTAGTGTAGGGGATTTTCTTTGATTCAATTTGACTTATATGCTTGTGTTCATTTTGTATGACCATCCTGCCGTAAGCACAACTCATTGTATCTTGGTTTTGATTTACTAGACTTGATTAAGCGGCAAAATCTTGCTTGAGATCCAAAACACATGGGTAGTAGATGAATTAGCTAGTAATTAAGTTTTTTTGAGTTACAATTGTACTACTCCTTATGAAAAAAATAATGGGCGATCAGTTTTTATTCTGAATGGTTAAAGGTCGTCCTAAAAATTACTAACCATCGTCCTAACTTAATAGGTAATTTACCGAATTGCCCAATTTGAATTTCAAAATCAAACACAAAACAAACAACCCCTCCCCTTCCATAAATCTAAAAAAATATAAACCAAAATCCAACAATTTATCTTATGGACCGAACCATAAATCGTAGTAAAAGAATAGAAAATTATTGACATAAAACAAAAAAATCCAAAAAAAATTAATGAGGATCGTTGATTAATAACCAGTTAACCGTCACTTAATCAAAATTGGTTCAACCTATTTTTTGCTGAATCTGTTTAATATTTAAATTATTTATTGTCACTTTGCGTTCCCCCAAAGAATCCGACCCTTGCCGAACAGTTTTATCAGGAAAACGAAGAACTTGACCGTCGGCGGAAAGGGTAGGTCAACGCAGCCGATAGAATGGCTCGTTTCAGGCTAAGGTTCATCCTTCTTCTCTTTAGTCCGATCACACTATTCGTACAATCTGGCTCCCCAACGTCGTATTCTCCAAAAAAGCAGTCAAAAATAATTCTACTCTGACGACCTTTTCGCCGGTATCCATCTGTATGTATAGCTATGCTTGGAGCAACACCACGACAGAGACGATTTTGTAGATGAACAGGTGGGGGCAGCGGAGCTGATTACGATGCAATGGTGTTTTCGACTGACTGGGTTGGGGATCTGGGTGGTGATGACCGGTCGACGACGACGACAACAGTGGTGGTAAATTTTTGCGGCGGAGAGGCTGTTGGTGATGACCAAGGCGACAACAAGAGGGCTGATGAAGGTATTGATTTTGACTCATGACTATGAGAGGTCTGAGATCTTGGTGGAGATGACCTACCGACGGCGGCAGCGATGATAGTGGTGGATTACATGCTAGTGAGACTTTGACGGAGGAGTTCCCTCACTTCACAGCTAGGGGTGTTCAAATGGTTACCATGGTTATAACCAAACAAGGCTAAATTCCATTAACCATGAAATACAATATCATACCCAAACCGTCCAAACTAATACACCAACCAAATTAATCAATATAAAATCACATTATCATTGATGATGAAAATTTTCCGGTAAATGCAACAATTCGCAATTTATATAATGAATAAAACATAACAACCAACACGTAGTTATAGTTGACCCTTAACAAAAATACACGCAACTAAGACAATTCTCTTACGATTAGTATAGAAGTATTCACCTAACAAAAATTTATGACAATGGTATGGGTTAATGAATTGATGTGTTTGTGTAAATTGACTTAGTCTCTTAGCAATTATCATAGGCTGGAAATGACCTTCCTTTCAAGTTTTCATCCATCATAATGTATGAAATTTATCTAAATTAGGCGTCCATATGTTGTGGTCTACACTTTACATATACAAATATACACTATATGAGCAATATTGAGCTTTATATTTTATATGAGTCTAAAAGGGATGAACGTTAACTCTTGAGTGTTATGCAAAGTATTAAGTATGTGTATATAATATATGTTAGATATATGACTAATTAATTAACTGGTTAATTTGGTTTGACTGGTTAGGAGTGTCTGTAACCAAACCAAACCACCTAAACCAAACAAGCTAAAAACTTTAACCAAACCAAACCAATTATCCAAATTAACCAAACCAAATTATCAAAATAGTACTGGTTAAAACGGTTACCACGATAACCAAACCGTTTGAACACCCCTATTCACAGCGGAAGTTCCAAGAAAAGAATAGATGAGTGGAAGAGGAAGAGACTCGTTGCCTTCCTTTTCTTTTGATTTTGTTTTATTAATTTAATTATTAGCTAAACCACACCCACCCATTGGCTAAATGTCAAGTTTGGTCACTAGAATTACTTAAAAATTCCACGTTTGCCACTAAAATTAATATGAATCGCTAAATGTCGACCTCAAAATTGCTGATGGTCGCCCTACTTAAAAATTCACGTTTGCTACTAAAACTAATCTGAATCACTAAATGTCGCCCTTAAAATTGCTAACGGTCGCCCTAACTCTAATGATAAATTACTTATATACCCCCAATAAAGTTTTAAAATTTAAACAAACCAAACAATCCCTAACTCCTCAAATTGAACCCCTCATCTACTTTCTTCGTGAATCCCTCTCGACGCACCAGTCCGTCGGCGCCTATACCGCCGTCGTCGTCGCCCGTTCTCTACCGAAATTTCCAAAAAAACTCTCAACCTAAGGTAAGTTGCGGTTGGCCCATGGTGGAACCGCAAGTGAGTTGCGGTTGACCCATGGTGGAACCGCAAGTGAGCTACGATTGCACCATGGACCAACCGCAGCTCATTTGCGGTTGTACCATGGACCAACCGCAAGTGAGCTGCGGTTAGCCCATGGTGCAACCGCAAATGAGCTACGATTCCCTTTTTTTTGTTTTTTTTCTTCTTCAATTTTTGGAGTGAACTTTACCGATTAAGAGTAGCTAGTCATGATCCAGATGTCCTATTGACGATTCCAACTCCAGAATGGCGATTATGGATTCTCTCTTTTGAATTATGTTTTATTTTCTTTACTAAGTGGTGTTTGTTTGCTAAAGGGAAAGTAAATAAGCTAAAAGGTTAAATTTGTAACTTTAATGTTTTTTAGGGCGACATTTAGCAATTTTAAGGGCGACCTTTAGCAACTCCCCAAATTAATTTATTTCATCCGTAGTCACTTAAATTAGGTTATCAGTTCAAGTTTGGTCACTGACCGTTAGTCTCCGTTAACTTTTGCCGATGTGGCGGTCAACTCTTATAGTTGACTGTTAAATGAGTGATGTGGCAATTAAAAAAATAATAATAAATAATAATTTTTTATTTTCCGCCTAATTATTAAAAAAATTAAAAAAATTCTTAATTCCTTTATTATTTTCCACCGCCGTCGTTGTTCCACCGCCAGGATGTCCGACGCCTCCCCTACAAACAATCTTCCAGCTGCTCGAAATAGCTCGAGATCGCCTCGAACCCTTCCTCCCCAGTAGCGACCTCGCGTCGTCGCCCTTGTAGAGCTTGATCGCCTCATTCATCTGGGCCGCCAGCTCCGCGCTCGATTCGCCTGCCGCCTCCGTCGCCCACCAGAACAAGTTCTCAATCGAATTGCCCGGCAGGGGAGGGTGCGTCGCGTCCTGGACAACCCCACCATAACAAGTTTGGTCATTGACCGTTAGTCTCCGTTAACTTTTGCCGTTGTGGCGGTCAACTCTTATAGTTGACTGTTAAATGAGTGAAGTGGCCATTAAAAAATAATAAAAAATATTAATTTTTTTTATTTTCCACCTAATTATTATAAAAGCTAAAAAAATTCCTAATTCCTTTATTATTATTTTCCACCGCCAGGATGTCCGGCGCCTCCCCTGCAAACAACCCTTCCAGCTGCTCGAAATAGCTCGAGATCGCCTCGAACCCTTCCTCCCCTGCAGCGACCTCGCGTAGTCGCCCTTGTAGAGCTTGAGCGCTTCGTTCATCTGGGCCGCCAGCTCCGCGCTCGATTCGTCCGCCGCCGCCGTCGCCCACCACAACAAGTTCTCGATCGAACTACCCGGTAGGGGACGGTCCATCGCGTCCTGGACAACCCCACCAGAACAAGTTTGATCACTGACCATTAGTCTCCGTTAACTTTTGCCGATGTGGTGGTCAAGTCTTATAGTTGACTGTTAAATGAGTGATGTGGCAATTAAAAAATAATAAAATATTTTTAATTTTTATTTTTCACCTAATTATTATAAAAATTTTAAAAAATTCCTAATTCCTTTTTTATTATTTTCCACCATCGTCGTCGTTCCACCGCAGGATGTCTGGCACCTCCCCTGCAAATAGCCCTTCCAGCTGCTCGAAATAGCTCGAGATCGCCTCGAACCCTTCCTCCCCTGTAGCGACCTCGCGTAGTCGCCCTTGTAGAGTTTGATCGCCTCGTTCATCTGGGCCGCCAGCTCCGCGCTCGATTCTTCCGTCGCCGCCGTCGCCCACCAGAACAAGTTCTCGATCGAACTGCCTGGCAGGAGAGGGTCCGTCGCGTCCTGGAGATTCACCACCTCCACCATGATCGAACCGAACGGCAACCCATGTGTGTTTCAACCTCTGAACCTTCCTCTCCGATCTTCATGTGTGTTTCAACTCCAAAACATGGGAAAAAGGGAAGAAAAAGAAACAGAGGACGACTAATGTTTGTCCAAATTTCACCATGGCGGCCAACACTCTATTTCTCCACTCAATAGTATTGCTTTGTTCTCAATTCCTTCACATTCACACTTCCCTCTCCCTTCCCACCACAATAGAAATCCGATTCCTCCTCTCTTCATGCTTCCTCCAAAATCAAATCCACAATTTTACCACATCCCGTCGTCACCACCGACGACCCAACAACCACAACTTCTTTCTACAACTTCTTTCATCGATGGTGGAGTAGTTGGCCGCAGTTGTGCGTGCTGCAGAGGGAAGGCGGAGGTTAGAGTGAGGTGCGGCAGGG